GGGAGAGGGAGAGGGAGAGGGAGAGGGAGAGGGAGAGGCTTGCTGGTCACCCAAGATGCTCAATCCATGTAATCCTGGAGTTGTGGCCTGCTGGAAATGTTTTTTCTGGGAGGGTTACTTCAGACCTGTTAGTTCTTGGTTATGAACTACAAGGACAAGTTAGGGGCCAAGACTGGGGCATGAAGTGAGATATGTCACCCATGGGCTGCCAGAATGCAGGAGCCCAGTCTGGGCTAGTTTTCTCCAATTTCCCTATTGGTAACCACCCCCAAAGGGATATATTAAATGGCTCCATTTGCCTGAGCTCTCCCAGGGCTGACAGGCCCTGCTGGGACACCCATGCTGCCCATGCTGCTGACTGTCCTGTCTTATGTCCCAGGATCTGCCCCCTCCACGTAACTCCTTTCTTCAAGGTGTATTGGTCCCTTCCAAAGCTGTAGGGAGGCAGAAGCTCCAGCCAGGTCATCCCAATTTGTCCCCTGGACCAGGCACCCTGGTCTCACTGTCCCAAGGCAGCAGCTGCTCCTGGCTTCAGCAGGCTCAGAAATGAGGGTGGAATGAGAATTAAAAAGCTGTGCACTCACCTTCCAACTCCAAACCTCAGGCTCAGCTCTTCTCATGACTCCAGTTTGCTCAAATGTCCCAGCTTTCCATACAGCAGTTTGGGTCAAGCTTCTGTTTGACCTTTTCCACCCCATTCCCAGAAGCTGCAGTTCCCACCTGGCTGAGGACAGTGAAACCTGGGACAGAATCCCACCCAGATGGGGAGCAGGGTGCTCGCTGCCCAGGAGCAGGGATGGCAAGTGGCAATTCCCTAAATACCCTGGAGCCTCAGGAGCATCCGAGCTGGCCAAACGTGGCTCTTCCACTGACCCTTATCTTCACGTGGCTGTGGTGCACAGATGCTGCTCAATACACAGGATTTGGGAAAGCAGGGGGCTAATTGGAGCAGTCAATAATTGCTTTGCTCTTTGGTTCCCTTCCAGTCGGTGCCTCCGGGTCCCCAAGGCTGGAGACCTCCACGGTCCGAACGTACTCGTGCTGAGGGTCAGTGAGATGGGAGCCAGGCCCTGGGTGAGTGTGAGGCCCTGGAGCTGGCTGGGGACGGAGGGCAGAGCAGGAGTCCCAGCAGCCCCCAGGCAGGGGGCTGCCCTCACCAAGATTTGCCTGGCCATGGAGGGCTAGGGAGACCTCAGTGGTGGGGAAGCTGCTGCTGCCTGAGGCTCACAGAGATGGTGCAGGAGGGATGCTCAGCATCCCACCACCTGTGGTTTGTCCACTCTTGGACAGATGGCTCCACTGGGGACCCCAGGATGCCATCCCATGGGGCTCCCACTTGGGTGAGGGAAGGATAGTCAAGCACTTCAGGGAGGCTCCTGGGATCCTGCTGTGCCCTGGGCCATGGTTGCCCTATGCCAGGAGGATCCAGTGCTGATTCCATCTGGGTTTGTGGGCCAGTGGATACACGGGTGGAGCTGAGCCAGCATCCTCACGGGGCCTTTCCCACTTTGCTCCTCAGCAATCTCCATGTCCGTACACCACGTGCTGGCTGCCTTCCAGGACGAGAGCCCAGCCTCTGCCTGTTCCTTCGCCCAGACCCACAGACTGTCACTGCTGCGGACCGACAGGATCAGTCCCTCCTGCTCGTGCACCCCCCGCTTTCCCTGGCTCCTGTGGCTCCCGCTGTGGCCTGTCCCCCACTTCTCCCACACTGGCTGGGCTGTGGATGTGCTCCGAGTGCCATCCTGGCGTGGTGCAATTTGGGGAGCAGCACATACACCCCCAAAATGTCTGCAAAGTTTGGAAGCCTCTCTCCTGCCTGGTTCATTTTGCCAATCTGCCACGGGGCTGCACTGACTCGCCCAAGCCCTGAGCATCAGGGATGCTGCTGCCCACAGGACTTGAAGCCAAGGAAGATTCAGGCTCGTGAAAATCCTCCCTCTAGGGAGGCCGGGCAAGGAGCTGCCCTTGGGGGGGCCGGGGCAGTGCCAGGGATGGTGCTGGGTGGGACAAAGGGGGCCCAGTGTGAGGTGAGGAGGGCAATGTTTACCCAGGGCTGGGCGGGCAAGGTGCTGATTTTGGTGCTGCCAGGTGCCCTGTTCGGGGGGACTGTGCCTGGGACTTCCCCACACGGATCACGGGGATGGTGCCCAGCACCCACGGGAGAGGGGACCCTCCTTGGGTGCCTGGGGTGACAACAGGAGCCCCCCTCTGCCCCCAGGACGTGCCCACCCTTCCCCTCCAGGTGCAGAGGAGATGCTCTCCCCTCCTGCCTCCTAGCAGGGGTCAGTCCAGGAGACTCTTAACTCTTCCCATTTCTTCCCCGTAGGGTAGGATCTCTTCGTCTCCTCATGCCACGTTTGCCTTGTGTGGCCCCTATTTCTGATGTGATATTTATTGATGGCTGGAATGACCTTATACTTATCATGTGCTGTCTGGAAGTGCAATATCTGAGAGACTCTACAGTCACAACGTCTTTTCGGTGTATCATTTGCCTAATACAGTATTAAATATTTTTTTAATTTGAAGAGTCAGTGAGCCCTTTATATCGATGCCCTATTTCTTTCGTCATATTATTGGTACTGCATGGACTCCAAACCCTGGATCGGGTCAGGAAAGGATGTATGTGTGTTCCAATAAACAGGATTTTAAAACAGTGCTGGCTTTGAGCCTTCTTTGTAGAGCCCAAATTAAAAATATCATTAATCTCTAGCTTCCTCAAGATCTTTGGGGCACAAGGCTCAACCCCAGTTAAACACCAGTGAAATCACTGGTCGGCGTAGGGCTGACCAGTGTAGTGTAGTGTGACACATCCAGTTCCCAGCTGAGTGACTATGCTGAGGTCCAGCTGGATTAACTGATAGGAAAATCTGCAACCTGGATTTGGGGATTGTGGAACTGGGGAGATCTACACAGAGCAGGACAACTGTAAAAGAAACCCCAAGCTGTCCAAACAAGAATGCCTTTATTTAAAAAAGAATCCAAATAAGTTAGCAAAAATAATAATTAAAAAAAACCCTAAATGGCAACTGCACACAGCGTTCAGTAGAAAAGACAGGCGGGCTCCAGGTTGGCACCACCGGACACCGGCCGGAGAGAGGCCTTGGTCAAGGAACATCTGGAAAACTCAGCAAAGCGAAGGCAGCACACACATTGGCCCCAAACCCGCCCATGACCGGCGGGGCAGGGGAGCAGGACCTGGCCCCAGGCAGCCCCTCCAGGACCTGCAGCCACTCTGGTGCTGCCCCATCCCACCTCTGCCTGTTCTTCCAGCCCAGCAGGAGCTCCGCAAGGAGTGGGAAGGGAGCCGAGTGGTGTCAGCCCATGACACTGGAGGGAGGGGTGGATGTGATTTCCAGTGGCTGGACCCTTCTGGCATCTCGTTCCCACCCCGTTACCATCTCAAGGAGCTGCTGGGGTTTGTGCCAGCTCAGTTTTGACCCCGCTCCTCTGGGAATGTCACGGCCACGTCCTCCACGGCAATGCTCTCCACGATGGAGGACAGCGAGTGCAGGTTGCGCTCCTCAGCTGCCTCGTCAGCCAGGAGGTGATCTGGGGAGACAGGGGGGTGAGGACACTGCTGGGAATGGGATCTGGGGGAGCAAGGATAGGGACATTGCTGGGAATGGGGACTGTGTGCTGGAGATGGCTCCTGGTTCTTCTCAGCGGGTTGTAGGTTAATGGTGAGCCTGGCTGAGGGCTGGATTTGATGATCCTTTGCACCCCTAACAATTTGTTGATTCTTTTCTACGATTCTGTGACCCTCATGATCCCCCATATGGCCAGAGTGACCTAGGGACCTTGCTGCCAGCCCCCACCCTGGGGAAGGATGAGAGAGCAACAGGGAATGGAACTTTTGGACCCTTTATAGGTTTTAATCTCCACTGGAAAATGAGATTTAAGTTTCTGTCTTGTGGGGAAAATAACAGGTGGATTTGGCAGGGGTGGGGATAATGGCAAGCATGGAAAAAAAGACCAGCAGCTGCCGAGGGCTTGCAGGGAGGGAAGGGGGGCTGGGACAGCACTGCCCAGCCACGCCCAGCAGCACAGACAGCAAAGTCAAGCCGAGGGATGGCAGCAGATGAAAGCCTTGATGGGGATGAAGGCACCCCGGCCCCGGCTGCTGCAGCCAAATTTCTCAGCTCCCAAGGGTTGGTGTTTTGGTGAAATCAGGGCTGGGAGAACCCTGAATTGCTGAGCATTGAGCCAAGGAGGTGCTGTAATTTTTGAGCTCCTCACTCTGCAGCAGTGGGACGGGGAGAGAAGGACAAGGTTCCTTCTGTCCTTTGCTCCAAGTATCTCCTGCCCAGGGGGAAGCGGGGGTTGGCTCAGTGATGCTCTGCTCTGGAGCTGCGGTGTTCCCGCTGTTCCTGCTCCCTGCAGAGCCCAGCGAGGCCTGGGATACCCCAGGGAGGCGAGGAGGAAGAGGATGCCCAGGGGAGGGAGGTACCTGCGGGGTTGGTGCCGAACTCCAGCTGGCTGCTCCACTCGGGGCTGCAGGAGGAGCTGCCGGATCCGCACTCGCTGGCTGCCTGCAGGAGCCCCGAGCAACCGTGTGTCACCTCCACCGAACCCCACTGTCACCCCCAAAACACCCATCCCACATCATGACACCCCTGTGGAGGGGAGCACGCCCCTCCCTACCTGGAGGAGCCTACAGCATGCAAAGGTCCCCAGGACCCATCAGGCCCAGGTGCTTCCTTTACCATAAAGGCTGAAAAATCTCCTTTACTTGGGACACTGGCCACAGAGAAATGGGGCTCCCCGCTCACTGCAGGTAAAAAGGTGCCTCTTTCCCCACTGATTTTGAAAAAGGGCTGAGACAAGCAAATGTCCTTGGGCAAAACACCTTTTCGTTGAGAATCACCCTAACCAGGCTCATTAAAAATAATACACGGGCTGGATGCCCTCAGGCAGTCCCGAGGAGGGGGATTGGGAAAGGCTTTTGGCTGTTTGATTTGTGGATTTGGGGCTGAGTTGTTATTTTAGAGAAAAGAGCTGACAGCATGAAAAATGAGAACATTATTCAGCAAAGCTCAGAATTCACTTTTTTTGGACCGTGTCTTTATCTGGGAGTGGGTGTCAGCTCAGGTAAAACCCCAAACGTGATTTATATGAGCAACCCAACTCTTTGTATAGCAAACTGGAATGGCACTTTGGCTCCACAAGCTCATGGCAGTATGGGATAATTAATTAGCATTTGGACATATTTCCCATTAAAGCAGGAAATTCTTACAGAAACGATCTTTTTTTCTCTCAAAATAATGGCTTGTGCATCAATATGTGAACCCCTGGCTACAGCTGGGAGAAGACGCAGCTCAGAACAGAAGTGACAAAGGGGCAGCTCAGCACAGTTTTGGGCACATTTGCAAATCCAAGTGGATTCTGGGAAGTGGATACTGGATTCTGGTATCCAAGTGGATTCTGGCATTAAAGTGGATACTAGGAAGTCCCACAGATATGTAGGATGGAGCCTAAATACTTTTATCATTCCTTTATTCAGCATTAAATTGGACTACCTGGATACCTACTGATTCAGCCCTTAAATCCTTTAGTCCAGAAGGAGATGTGGGATGATTCCCTCTTCTGGGCCTCTGATAAAGTCCTTCCATGTCTGTACCTGCATATATCTATATCTATATCTATATCTATATCTATATCTATATCTATATCTATATCTATATCTATATCTACCTATATATATATATCTGTATCTATCTGCAACTATATCTATATCCATATCTATATCTATCTATATCTCCATATGTATATGTCATATTTATATCCATATCTACATTACATATTTCTGTACCTATATCACCCACATCTACATTATCTATATCTCCATAATCTGTATCTAAAGATATACCTGTATGTCATTTATATATCTATAATCTGTATAATCTTTATGACTGTCTATATTATCTATATGTATTTATATAATCTATCTGTAATTTGTATCTATCTCTAGAGCTATCATATCCATATCAATTTCATCTCTATCTAATTTATCTATATGATCTCTAGATCTGTAGAACCAATATGATCAATGCCTATACCAATACATGCCCTATAGCTATGTATTCCATCTGTATTGATCATCTCCCCCTACACCTGTAGCTGTAGTTCCAGCTCTCTGTGCATTCCCAGATCCATACCTCAGAGCAGCAGGGAAGCACCTGCCCAGCCATCACAGGAACCAGGGGCCAGATGAAAATACCTCTCAAAAACTTGGTTAAATGACCAAAGTCTTGTGGAGTGGCAGGTCCTGCCTCTCTGGGGGTGGTGGCAGGACACAACAACTGAGTGTCCTCAGCCAGTGCCCAAAGCCAGTGCCCACCCTTAGGTCCTAGAAACCAGAGGTGTTCCTGTGCTATCCCTCTCATCCCTTTCTTTGCCTGAGTGTGAGCAGGGAGTGTTAATTTTATTTTATATTTTATGCTTTATATTTTTTATATATTTCATATTTGTATTTCTATTTTTGTATTTAGTATTTAATATTGTGTTAACCTCTCTAACTCTGCCCTTCCCCAGGTGTAACCAGCACATTTTGTTAAATGTTATGTTACGTTACATTATGTTATGT